CTGTATCTTTTAAACATACGTAATTAGGAAAAATATTTATTTAGATTTTCGTCTTATTTTGACTTGCTTAATCTGCTTCTAAATTTATGCCACTAAGTTTAGGGACACCTTGTATATTAGAGGGTTTCAAAAAAATCGTTTTTCTTTTTTTTTTTGAAGAACATTGAAAAATCGAAAGAGTATCCCTAGACATAGTCTGTGATAAAATATAGCTTTTAATATCAATATTTAGAGGTTGCTCATCGCAATTTTCTATTTTTTATTTAGGTATCACAGGAAATTTTTGTTCGTTTGTTCGAATTCATTTAACTCAGAAACTATTTATTTCACAGTATTCAGACTAACATATATTTAAAGGAAATTTCGATCAAGACTCAAACAATGACCGGTTTTAAAGCATTCGACTATATACTATTAAACGCGACAAAATTATTTTATAACGATTAAATGTCCAACTTTTTTAACATTTTAATGAAATATTTACAAATATTGTGTAGAATATTGATCAAAAATTTGTAAAAATTAATAATTAATATTAATTTATAATTTGTGAAAACTTCCTGTGCATATATTACAAGCAAATAATATAAAAATATGAATTTCATCATATTGCCATAATGTAAGAAAAAAATTTACAGAAACGCTTTGTTTCTGATATATGTATACAGAGTGCTGCAATTTTTTTAAATTATCACTTTTTTCCTAATATCTAAAAACCTATTTTGTTTTTTTAATTTGATATACTTATCTATAAAAATAACTCTGAGCTTTTGATGTATCTAGATTTAATGTATTTATTACAGTGGCGCCCCGGGGGCATCTCGGCCGTTATTTAAAAAAAAAATATGGTATTTGTTTTGTATAAAAAAATTATTTTTAAAACTCTTTTAATAATGGAGGAAATACATCAAAAGCTTACCATTATTTTTATAAATAGGCACACTGAGTTTTAATAAAATCTAAATATGGTTTTTTTTAATAATAGGAAAAAAGATATAATTTTAAAAAATTGCAACACTCTGTATCGGAAACGAAGCGTTTCTGGAAACTAATTAAAATTAAGCTTTTTTCTTATGTTAAGGCAAGAAACCTTATTCTAAATATTAATAAAACACCTTGTATAAGATTAACCAAAAAAATCATATTTTTATATCATTTGCTTGTGACATACAAGGGGTTTTCACTGAAGATCAATTAAAATTATCATTGATTAATAATTTTTACAAATTTTTGATTATTATTCTACAAAATATTTGCAAATTTAATTAAAGAATTTAATCGTTATAAAATACTTTTGTCGCGTTTAATATTAAACAGTTGAATGATTTAAAACAGCTTAATGTTTGAGTCTTGATATTATCGAAACGACTCGACTTACGTAAATCTTAGTTACAACCATTTTATAGAGCATGAAATTTTCTTGAAAAGTTTCCTATTCCTGTGAAATAAATAGTTCCTGAGTTATAAGAGTTCAAACAAACAAATAAAATTCCTCTGTGCTACTAAAATGAAAAATAGAAAATCTAAATATTGATATTATAAGCTCATACTTTAACACAGACTATGTCTAGGGATACTCTATTGATTTTTCAATGTTCTTCAAAAAAAAGAAGAGAAACGATTTTTGAAACACTCTAATATATATATTATAAAACAATGTAATTTATTATTAAAGTTAAAATTGGAATGTTACCATTCTATTTAAATAATTAACTAAACAAAGTACCCCTTGCGGCCTTGAGTTCACGGTTTATTCACCGTGAATTCACCGTGAATAAACCGTCTGTTTGTGACATTTGTAAACGGTAGTTAGACGGTGAATTCACGCACTTTTCACAGTATTTTAATTGTGAATCCACCGTATTTTGGCGGTATATTCACGGTGAATTCACAGTGAATTTACGGTGAATAAACCGTGAACTCAAGGCCGCAAGGGTAGGTATATCCTATAGGTTTAACACAATCGACTATAGCTAGCCATTATTCGTTACTGAGCAGATGAGGATGGAAATGGGGACTTCAAACAATTAATGTTCAGCTATGCCATTACAGACGCACACTTCCAACTAAATATTGCAACCCAACGCTATTTATAGTTAGCTCGCTTGCGTAAGCAGCCGTGAGATGTATTGCTTAAACCGCTTAACACAGAAATCGACTAATAAAAAAACGCGTCCAACTTGTTGTTTTTTCTTTATGATGGCGTCTCAACCTGGTTGATTTTGCGCAGCTACACGAGAGCCCTCTTGCGATATTTGTATTGTATTGGGAATAACCAATTAGCAGATTGTTCGAATCTTACACTTACAATTTGCGGTGTTTTCACAGTCAATTTACGGTGATTTCACAGTGAACTCACAGCGCTTTTACGGTGAATTCACGGTGATTTTACGATAAATTTACGGTACTTTCACAGTGAATTTACCATGAAATCACCGTGAATTAACCGTGAAATCACCGTGGATTTATCGCAACAACAGCGTGAGTTCACCGTTTACTTACCGTCTACAAATGTCACAAATGGACGGTATTTTCACTGCACATAAACGGTGTATTCACGGTGAATTCACGCAAACGGTGAATTCACCGTAAATTCAAGGCCACAAGGGAGAAAATATTTACAATTACAGTACATGAAATAATGAAATAATACTGTTTTTTATGTTAAACATTTTAACATAGTGCGTACTATAATGGGTTAAAATTGTATAACAAATTACCAACAGATATAAAAAACAGTGATAATTTAATTAGACCAATATATTACCTTTTGTAAAAACAAAAATTGACCTGTGATACTTATTTCTGATATTATAACGTATATTTTATATACCTATGTAGATGTGTATTGTAAATAGCTTTTACTAATAATAAAGATATTTATTTATTTAATAATGCGGTTCGGCGAATTAAAAATGGGTCCATTTCCCCAAAGTATGAAACATCTGACGAAATCAAAACACACGAACTGAGGAACCAGGAGTGCGTTCGAAATGAGAGTGTACTTTGGATATGGTATAAGAATAGGTATATAATCCCGTGACTTTACATTATACCTTACTGTCTTGCTATTTTCGAACGAGGCGGAGCATATACCTATAAACTTTATGTTGTAGTGTTTTAACACCAATTTGTTTTGCTTGTTATTTGACTGAAAACATATAAATATTAAATTATTGTATTTCAACCCTTTAGTTATATGGTTTATTCAAGTTTTTGTTTTTTAGAGTTGATATTTTTTAAATAATTTATTTTAAATAAATTCTTTATTTTAATGTTTTTCGTTTTTTTATTAAATTTTAAACAGATATTAATAAATTATATAAATGTTAATTCAAATTATTGTTTGCATGACGGGTAAAACTTAACCAAGTCTAAAGCTCGGACAACCAAGAGTGCACTCTGGGCATATACTTGCTGTTTTCGAACAGTTTACAGTTTTATATATCTAAACTTGGAGTATATTCAGTGTGCACTCTTGTGAGTTTTCGAACGCGCTCCAGCTGACGTTCAAAGGTGAGCAAACGCGCGCCTTTTGAAACTCGTAAATGGGGTCGCGTCAGGAAGGAAGCCTTGACGCGAAGGCCCAGTAAACGCACGCAAACCTCAAACGCACGCGAGTGACTCGTAAACCCGCCACAACAGGTATACCCGTAATGTATGTATTTGCATACAATTCACAGTCTTAATATAGTTCAATGAAAAATTCGATGGTATTAGCATTACAAACAAAGAACATTTTGTTTTACATATTAAATTTTTAGTCCAAATCAAAGGCTATAGCCTTTGATTTGCTATAGCAATGAAACTGCTTAAAACTTAATATAGATTTAGAAAATATAGCTGTTATAAAATAAAACAACAAAAAAGAACAAAAACACGTATATTTATATATTTTTTTTAAATTTTAAAATGCCTTTAGTTTAAAAAGTTGCGATTGGGTCTATTAATTTTGATTACAAAATTATTTTTTATGTTTAGACACCTCAAAAAACAAATAAAATAATCACGCCTGTACCACAATGTTATGTATTATGGTTCCCATTTAACCAAAAGAAAATGTTTAGTTTACATTTTGCATACCACAAAATTTTAAGAAATACATTTAAAATGGCGAAAGTCTTCCAAAACAACTTTTCCGATTGAAATGTTACTTATTTTTTTATTTAACGTCGATTATACAATTTTTTTAAGTTAATTGGCAGCAAAAAAACTATTGGTTTTTATTATTTGTGTATTATACAAATAAAAATATAAGAATATTCTATTTAAAAAAAAATAATATAATGTGCGACGAAGATTATATAATATGTTTTATACATACTCGTATTATGTTTAATAGTTATTTATGTCATAAGGCTAAGAAGTGAGTCTTTTTGTGCTTAGCTCAAAGTCAGAATGCTGACGCGTAGCGGACGCCTACAATTGAGCGAAGTACAAAAAGACACTTCTCAGCAGCATACAGTGATGGGCAAGTACCTTCCCGGTATATTGAAATTTGGTTAAATACCCAAGGTATGTACTATGTACCAGTGGTGGGTACTATTGAGAGTTGATTATTTTTGGCCACTGGATATATATGTCTTTTTTGTTTTCGTGCTTCTTAAACATCTGACCTATAGGAAGTGGAGCTCAGTCATTTCAGGCCTGTGTAAGTACTGTATGTGCTGTCGTGGGCATACAGAACCATCGCGCCTAATAATTTTATTGTTCCAGTTTGCATGTATATCCTTAAAGCTGTTTCACTTTAAAGGAAATGACTTTTAAATGTTGGGGATACAAATTTTTATTTATATTTATTGACTATTGGAATAAATAAATAACACAACTAGTCCACTAGGACGAAATAAATTCATAGTTCTAAATTTACTTGTTTTTTATTATATTAAATAAAATTATTTCTATTTTTTTTCTTATCAAAAAAAGATTGATACCGTCCAAGTCCAAACCCTTTGATCAAGCAATTTGCAATAAATAAACATGTATTTTTTATATTTTAGTTGGATATTCTGGAATATATACATAGTCGCGGTTATGTCCATGCAGATATAAAAGGAGCAAATATTTTACTTGGAATTACAAAAGAAACTAAAAACAAACAAGTGTACTTACTTGATTTTGGCTTGGCAACAAAATTTTCTACTGAAAAAGAATTTAAACCCAATCCGAAGAGGGCTCATGATGGTACAATAGAATATTTAAGTAGAGATGCCCATCAAGGAGGTACTGTTAAATTCTAAAACTATTTTTCCTTAAAATTAACTTAATTTTATACTCTTATAAAAATATATTTACAGTTAAGAAAAAATGTTCTTATGTATTTAAATTTAAACTGTCTTCTAATTTGCGTTTTGAATTGGCAAAACAAAGCAAAACATTAGAGTAAGACAGTTTAATAGTTAACAATTAAATTTGTTTTCTATTATAAAAATTTTTTTAAACTAACTTACACAAGCGCAAAATATATATATATATATACAGGGATGGTAATGTGCTCTTAGGCCGTTTATTAAATAAAGACAAATGCATTATGAGACGTGGGAGTGGTGGAGTGACGTAAGAGTAGTGGGGCAAGTCAGACCGCGCCGCGCGGCTACGAGCATCGTCCGAGACGGGCGGCCCGACCAGTGTTGCCAGAGGTGGTACATTTGTACCATTTTGGTACATTTTTAACCTCGTGGTACAAAAGTACATCGAGAACAATTTTGGTACATTTTCTGCCTACTCTATTTTTTACAAAGGTTTTATTGAATTAAGAACATATAACAAATATTAAGAAGTTTATCAAATTTTAAAAGGACCCTGTAAACTGGACTGATGACTGATGATAATAAAGCTACCTGTAAGTTAAAATAATTTATATGGTTCAAAAGTTTTGAATCAAAACCCGGCCATTAGTCGCCCCTTATGTTCTGTGAGTCGCCCCGAATCACGTTTAATATTTTAATGTATAAAGTACACAATAGAGAATTATGTTTTATTTTTGTTTTACGTGGATGTTTTAAGTAAAATACCTACTTTTCGTTTTATAAAAGATTGTATTAATATATTTGTTGTTGAAAATATACTTTATTTATTCCCATCTTTTTTAAAACAGCTCAATTGAACATTAATATTTTAAATATTAAATTATTAATTTATTATAGGAAATATTCTCTAATAAAAATGGTTTACACCCTTGAAGAAAAGATTCAATTTATAACGTGGCATTTAAATGGGATCTCAGATCGAGAAATTCAAAGATTATTTCCAAATATGTTCCCAAATAGACCCTTACCAGCAAGGGCAACAATTCAAAATGTTGTAAATAATTTGAACATTTGCTTTAAATTATTTTTTCTTTACGTTTTTTAGAATACTTTTTTATTTGAGAATATTTGTTTTTTTATTACAAGAATATTATTGTTTATTTTCCACATTTCCTAAGAAATATTTGCAAGAAACTTTTGTTTCTGTAAACAAAATCATAATAAAATATTTACGTTGTTTTATAACAACCGACTACACCCTACCTCAGTCGTAATGAAACTGACACTGAATAGTGGCAAATCTCGAACATGTCGAGTGGGCGGGACCTGCCCGGCGGGTAACGCAGATAGTTAAAGAAGGGGAAGCAAAACATTGGCGTGTAATAGACCGTTTTGATTTAATTGTTTTAAAAATTTCTACTGCACGCTCATGACGGAGGGGAATCACGTTTGTTAACCAGTCGATGGTTGTTAATCTCACTCTTTCGTACGTTTTATATTGCATGCATCTTTGTCACAATTTGGCCTAAATGTGCATTATTACCACTGTATATATATATATATATATATATATATATATATATAATATATACAGTGTGTCCACGGATGGACTTAACTATACCTACTTGTAAAAATATTTATTTTAAATTTTTTGAGAAAAAGTCATTTTTCATAATTTCTTTTGCTTGTTATGTAAATACGATTCGCGTTCAGAAACATCCATTTTATTGTACAGGGTGAGCAAAAATACAGATTTTCAAAATAAAAAAAAATTAAATATTTTTTTTTAAGCGCTAATATAAAGAGCTGGCAAGGAGAAATCAAAAAGTCAAATGAAGTTTCTTCTTATTTGATAATAAAAATTTAAGATATTAGTTTTCAAATTTTAACAAATAATTGTAGAGATTGTAGACATCCCACGCGGAAAAATAATATTTCTACAATGTTACTGAACGTTACATTTGTTAGATGTAATGTTACAAAAATCCTTGTGGCAATTTTGCAGGAACATTGCAACAAAGCCTTATGTCCGGCTCAGGAACATTACATTTACAAATAAAATGTTGCTTAAATGTATTAATTGCAATGTTACTAAATGTTATTTTTGTTAATGAAAGGTTCCTGCAACATTACAGGAACATTGCAATTAAATTAATATGAATTATTATAATAATAATTAATTATCCGTAAGCTATACCCCTATTATATATATAAATATATATATATATATATATATAAAACAATAGGTTTTCTATTTTACGCCACCAATATTGCAAAGACTGAAATGCCTTCCCATCTCGAAGCGCGTCTCCCGAATGGTATGGTCCAATGACTAATGCAACATACCCACCAACACTGACAGACATACTGTTTTGACCTGTTTGGTCTCATCAGTGTCAGGCAGTCGGTGACGGGAGACACGCATCAAGCTCATCACTGTTTACTTATGAAGATATAAATGGCCAAGACAGCGGCGAGATGCATCGGCAAGTCAGTCTGCAAACAACATTCCAAAAATTATCTTAATGCAATATTTCAGATGAAACATAGTCCAAAACTAAAGTTATAATTGTAAATGTAATATTATAGTTACAATGTTCCAAAAATCTTGCAAATTAATTAATTTAAATGATTATATTGTTTATATAAAGCAACATTGCAAAAATCATCTTAATGTAATATTTCGGATGAAACATTTCCCAAAACTTATCAATGTAATATCAAAATTGCAATGTTTAAAAAATCTTGCAAATTAAATGTTTATGTATGTTTTGTATTATATGTTCTGTATTGTACTGAATATGCAATAAAAACTTTATTTATTTATTTATTTAAATGTTTATATTGTTTATATAAAGTAACATTGCAAAAATCATATTAATGTACATACGTAATACGTATTATTTCGGATGAAAAACTTATCAATGTAATATTATAATTGCAATGTTCCAAAAATCTTGCAAATTAAATGTTTATATTGTTTATATAAAGTAACATTGCAAAAATCAGCTTAATGTAATATTTCGGATGAAACATTGCCCAAAATTTATCAATGTAATATTATAATTGCAATGTTTCAAAAAAATTCCCAAACATTCCAAAATAAATGTTTCTATTGTATATTTAAAGTAAAGTTGCAAACATTTTTCATTTGAAACTTGTGTTAATATTTCATTTGAAACATTGAAAAAAAGTTATGTCTGCAATATTATAATTGTAATGTTTAAAAACTTGTATGCAACATTTTATACTAAATGTTACAAATATAACATTGTAAAAACTTTCCATGTGAATCTTTAAATAATGTTTCAAATTTAAGGTTGTTGGAAATTATTATATGCAATATTTCAAATGTAACATTTCATTTATGTTAATGCAAGTAGCACAGGAAATATTTTATTTGTAAAGTCGGCGAACATTGCAGCAATATTTTGTAAGGTTTCTTTCCCAGTAGGATGTCAGTTGAAAGCAACAAGCCTGATTCATAATCACAAAATGAGATAGCAGTTAAGTTAGGACCTGAACTGATTTTATTTTTATTAACAAATATCTTAGTAACAACAACTCACATGAAAAAACTTTATTTGGTTTATCCTTAAAAGCACTTCATATTAGACCACAATTTTTAATTTTGCAAAATCTACAATTGTATTTTTACATATTTTACATTACATTATTTTTTTACAAGTATAGTTAAGTCCATCCGTGGACACTCTGTATATATATAAATATATGAAATATATACATATATATTTTTTAAATATTTATACTACAACGTTGTTGTGCGTTTTGCATTTTTTTTCGCCTGTCATCTGTCCACAGTGGATCAATCTAAGCTCTTTATTTGTCAATTTTTGATCAATCAAAAGTAATTGTTGCGAATTGCAGCGAATATTGTACTACTAGTACAATACTCGCTGCAATTTCTACCAATATTCGCAACAATTACTATTGATTGGTCAAAAATTAATAGCCCTGCTTAAAATACCCCATAGTGATCGGGCGCTACCGGATTCAATATGTGCATTTGTTCATGGTTTTTTCCGGATACGGCCCGATAGAAAATTTATAGGAGATTACCTATAGGCACACCATAACTTTTACATTTTCCCTATTGAGGCCGATAGCAATTAACTTAATGAAGGATATATAGGGATATCCCTATAGAGCAACCATAAAATATTTGACAAAATTTTATTAAAACCTATAGGGGAAAAATTAATTTCTACATTTATGTGTATTTTTCCCATTGAAACCAATAGCAAATAAATAAGGGTGGATATCCCTATAGAACAACCATAAATCCCAACTATGGGTCCTATACATACCGATACACCCTATAGAAACACCATACATTCCGATACAAATATCTATCGGTTTGAACAGGGTCTCTATGGGAGTAACTACAAGGTGAATATTTTGTAAAACGCATTTCGATGGCTTTTGATTTAAATTTGTTGAAATTTTTGTTCAATATTATCAAAAACATCCAAATTTTCTTTAAAAAGTAAATATCTGCTAACTCTGTTGCTTGTAAGCCACTATAAAACATTGATTTAATTTTACCTTATAATATAATATGTCGGAAGTTGGGAAATATGTAAAAACGAGGAATGAATTGTCCAATGGCGTTAACGCTGCAGCAAACAGTGATCAAATAACCACGTTCTCCCGACGTTAACTGTCCCATTTGCTTACAGCCTTGGTTAAAACTTTTTAGGATTTGTAAATCCTGTTGTTCAAAATTTTAAAAAACTTTGTAGTAACAACAAACTAGTAACATATACCACTAATTAGCAAGGACACCTTAAACTTTGTATCTCTATTTAACATAACTGTATTAAGAGCAACGTATAATTCTAAAAAAAATTTATAATATACAAAATATAAAAATTGGCTAAACTTATATCTCAACAAACGTTTACCACAGACTAAATTTTTAGAAAGCATTGTAATTAAGGCCGCCAGGTGTGT